CCAACCACGGGGACAGAGCTACCAGTGAAGACCAAATCCCCGACGAAATCAGATGTCCTGAAGGCAATCAAGATGCTATAAGCTGGAAAATGGGAGGAATCTGAAAGAAACAACCTCTTTTACCAACCTGAGAAGCATCGTTTCAACTACAGGTGAACGGAACTGACGAGGATATCAAAGCAAGAATCGGAAAAGCAAGACAAGCTTTCACTACCCTCAAGTCTGTGTGGAGGTCAACAGCACTCAGCATGAAAGACTAGACGTAGATTTTCAACTCCAATATGAAGTCAGTCAGTGCTACTCACGATACGGATCAGAGACCTGCACTGCGCGTCATAAAGAGCATCTCAAACAAACTACAGACCTTCATTAACAGTTGTCTTCGCTCAATATTCAAGATCAGATGGCCAGCCAGAAAATATCAGTAACAGAGATCTCTGGCAATGAGTGAACCAACTCAGCAGGAACCGATTGTGAAACAAATAGGCAGGAAGAAATGGAGATGGATTGGCTGGTCATACTCTGAGGAAACAAACCACCAAGTGACATCACACGCCAGTCCATCGTTCGAGTGGAACCCGAAAGGGAAGCGGCGAGTTGTTCGTCAGTGCAAGGGTGACTTGCAGGTGATGTGAAGAGGAGATGGAAACGTGTGGGCAGACTTGGAGCCAGGTGAAAACTCTAGCACAGAACCGAACGCAATGGAGACGCACGGCTGAATCCCCATGTTCTTCTAGGAATTAAAGGAAACAATAATAATAATAATTGAATAACCTTGGATCTTCTGTCCCTCCAGAAGCAGTCTAACATAATCTGAACACATCATAAAAACATCTGGATAAATTGTTAAAGCCGAGAAGATTATTTTGACATCACTGGAGGCAGGCAATACAAGTAACCTTAATTCTGATTATTATTATTCTATTTGGTTCTGAGTGGAATATGGCGCTTCAACAACACATCTCCACTTTCTTCTATTTTTTGCACTCCACTTCAGCTGTGTTTACGATTGCCCATAATCTCTCATCTCCTCCAACTTGCCACACGATCTCCTCCACTGTCACCTACTCGTCACCTCCTATTTGGATTCCACTCGAGCAGTGGTCTGCAGTCGGTGCGATGTCATCCAATAGCCTCATCATCAACAGTATGGTCGATCCATTTCCATTTTCTTCTACATATTAGTTGAGCAATCGGCTCTTGTTTTGTTCACTGACTACTACCAGAGGTTTTGTTGTTGTTAATTTTTCTTTTTGGCCGGTCATTTGATTCTCAGTATGATACAGCCTGTAATTCTAATATGACAGATTAAATCTTGCGCTGAAATTAAACTAATTATCTGACAACACTAAAATTCTTCAACTAAATAACTGAATGGAAAATTACCATTACGCTTTACTGTGATAATACAATCCTATGAGAACATAGCGTTTTGACATAGCGTTTTAATCGTGTGAAATAAAAGAACTACTGGCGACATGTTCTTTTATAGCCAGTGTTACACAGGAAATAATCGTATTCATAGAATATTATTATATTACACCTATTAAGAATAAGAATCACTTAGGCAAACAGGTGTATTCCTTGAAGACATCAGTTTTTTTTTTTAATTCTGGTGTATAAATAAAGGAAGTGAACAGAAAAGCTGTAATTTTCTACCTACATTCATAGGCCTAACAGGTTACACTAACTACATTGCCCCTGTAAACCAACACACACTTCTTATAATCATTCAAAAACAAAAAGGAACAGGAAACAATGAAAAGAAACCCGATTAAACTAAACTGATGTAAACAAGTTTTGAACAAAAGGCGAAGAAGAAGAAGAAGAATATTCTAGGAGGATTCACACATTTGGAATTCCCCAAAATGCAAATCTACACCGGTTAATCAAAAAGAAAAGAAGTACAAACAAAAAAAAGCGGAGTCCAACTTTCTGGAATAATTCCTAAGAGTTTTTTTTTAATTTCTGAAAGTTATGTTACATTTGCATATTTAACCAAAAAGAGCTATTTTCATTTTCGCAAACTTTTGTATAATTTATGACTTTGTATTCATAATGAATACAATACAACAAAGTAAAGCGGGTAAAAAAAAATTATAATAACTAAGGGGAAGAATAAATTTTGCAGTTTAGGAATAAACTGTTTAAGGAGGGAAATAGACTAGTTATGAGAAAATGTTTCTAATCTAAATATTCATAAAAAGTATGCTATTGTTTACAGTATTTGAAAATATTAGCAGTCAGATTATTGAGACATAAGTGTAAAGTGATTGATGCCATGAAGATGAATGACGCAGAAAAATGCCCAGTAGTGGCAGTGTTGTGTGGACTAACACGCATTCAAACAATGAGGGTAGGATAGAGATATAGTTCTGAAAAGTGATTTCATAAGTCGGAGGGAGAGGTTGTCCCCTGAATCGTTGTTCGTCAAATGTACAGTCATCATGTACAATAAGAATGATTCAGCGACAATACCAGATGTACTATTATTTTTATTATTCCTTTGGGTTCCGAGTGGAACGTAGGGCTTCAACAAAACATCTCCACTTTCTTCTATTTTCTACAGTTCTCTCTAGTTGGTCCCAAGATTGCCCGTAATCTATCATTTCCTCCTCGCCACACAATCTCCTCCATGTCACCCTCGCAACGGCAATCCACTCATCGCTTCCCATTCGGATTCCACTCGAGCGATGGCCTGTCGCGCGATGTTATCCGATAGCCTCCTCAACGTATGCTCTATCGATTCTCCATTTTCCCCTACATATTTGTTGAGCGATCAGCTCTTGGTTGGTTCACAGCCTGGCAGAGTTTCTTGTTGCTAGTTCTTTCTGTCCAGCTGGTTGGTCACTTGATCTTCGGTATGGAGCTAGAGAATGAGGAAGATTGGTTACAGGATTTCATCATGAGCTGACACCGGATAGAGAACCATTGGAAAACCAACTGGGAGTACTGGACAGCCGTTTTGTCCTAGTTAGGGACTCTTCAGCAGTATGCACCCACCGGGGTTCGAACTTAGGACCTTCTGGTTACAAGGCATGCTCGTATACCATTAAGCCACTGGGACCCGATCCAATGGCCCATGAATTCTAACTTCTGCCAACTCACGATATTGCGCAACCACTAGCCGATGTCTTCGGCAAGTATTTGCTCTCACACCCGACCTGCTGCACCCTACTGGTCACGACTCTCCGGTGGGTGAGTAGTGATGAAGAGTCCCAAACTAGGACGAAACAGCTGTCCAATACTCCCAGGTTTTCCAATGGTTCTCTAACTAATGTCAGCTGATGATGAAATCCTGTAATCAATCAACCAAATCCCTACAAACCAATACTTGAATGTGAATGAGGAAGATGTTGAAAAAGGTTTGTAGTAGCATGTTGGAAATCCTTTTCGTGACCCGTATAGAAGAATTGACTGACTTCACATACATTAAAATATGTGTAAAATTCTGTCTCAATAATAATACTACTAAGTGTCCCAATAGCCTATCTGCATATCTTATGCCGAGAACCTTTTCAAAGGACAAGTAATATAACAACAAAAGAAGGATGAAAACGAGGCTTTGTAGACAAATGACGTAATAATTCTGCAGTGCCAAGTCTTTGAAAGCAGGTAATTATACCTCCTCAAGTTCCATACACTCACCTTCACTAACATTTCTAACAGGGTAAAATCAAAGATAGTTTGTCGGTGGCATAGCGGTTAGGACGCTCGCCAACCATACACATGGTCCGGGGTTCGATCCCCGGCCGACGCACTCCTTTACCTCGCTAAGCCAGAAATAATGCTGGTGAAGAGGAAAGGTTGGGCATGAGGCTAGCAACCCCATCCTGTAAAATAAACACTGCTACATAAACTTCAAGCCACTAGCTTGAAGCCCTATGTTCCACTGGGGAACGTGAAGGAAAAAAAATCAAATATATGGATCGCTGTGGGATTCAGATAACAGGCCTCTAAATTACTAGTTCGGTACCATACCAGTTCAGTTTGCTAATGTTTAGATTTTCTATATTATCATTACACTTTGGTAAAGCTGTTGGGTATCTTTTGCTGGGATAATTTAAAAATAGTTTTTCATAACTTCCTTGAACAAACTTTTAGTCACCTGTTGTATGTTAGCTTATTCTTAATTATATCTTTATATCTTTCATGATCACTGTGATCAATATGGGATATAGTCTGCGTACGTTTTGCTTTTCTGTATACTGCTTTGTGTGGTCTACTCTCTACTATTCTTCAAACATTGATGTTCGCTTATGAAAACTAATTACACGTTTCTTATTTGCTTTTACGAGTTGATCGCGGATTGATATCAGTTAGAGAACCATTGAAAACCAGGGAGTACTGAACAGCCAGCTATTTCATCCTAGCTTGGAAATCATCTGCAGTACGCACCTACTGATAGAAGTTAGAATTCATAGGCTAATGAATCGCGTCCCACTGGCTAAATGGTATACGAACCAGCTTACCTTGTAACCGTAAGGTCCTGGGTTCGAGCCCCGTCCAGTAGGTGCTTACTGCCAATGATTTCCAAGCTAGGATGAAATAGCTGGCTGTCCAGTACTCCAGTACTGGTTTTCAATGGTTCTCTAACTGATATCAATCCATGATCAACTCGTAAAAACAGGTTTGATCACCAGTTGACATAAATTAGACAACCATTAGGAAACCAGGAAGTGTAACCGAAAGACCCTCAACTCAAACCTTGGTCAGTGCGTACTAATGAAGAGTTTCAAACTAGGACGAGACAGCTGCACAGTACTCCCTAATTTTCCAATGGTTATCTAACTAATGTCAACTCACGATTAAATCTACAAGTCTATTTCCTGATTGCTTTTCATTTAAAAAGCAGTTAATGCATAAAAAAATGCAGACAAAACATTTTAGTCTATTTTACAAGTGAACAATGAATACGATTTTAATAAGACAAAAGAAAAGCTTTGTCTGCATATGACATAAAACAAAACCATCACATGTAACAATGTTAATTAGCCTACCTCTTCCGGTTGTTCATTCAACAATGCAACCAACTTTTCAATTGTTCCAAGTTTTTGAAATTGTTTCACATTCTCTTTGGAAATTGCACATTTCCAAATAGCTCCAGTAGCAGACGCCAATAACTCTTTGTTATCTTCTTTATTTAGTAGTGCTATCAATGGCTCTAGACCACCGTGTGTACGAACTAAATCACGTGTCTCAGGTTCTTCTGCACACTAAGCAAAACGATTAAAAAAAAAGGGGTTAAATAGCAGAAACACTAAATAATCATGGACGTAGAAGAAGAAAGATAAATTTAGACATTAAGAAGTTCCACTTTGACTTAAATAACCTTTTCAAACAGAAGTCATTAATATTACTAATGTGTAGGCTTGACAACTTTTTTTTATATTATAAAATTGTAAATTTGGAAGGTTGATTTCAAGAGAAAGCTAAAAATTAAACCTAAGTATAGTTTCACCATTAAAATAGTGGTTATTTTCGCATGAAATCAAATCGATTGCTACAATAAATCTTCATTTTTTTAATATCACTGGTGAAACAACATATTGATCAGTTATTTCTATAGTCCAGTAGTGGAATAATGGAATAAAGTGTGCTTAACAGTCAATCACTTAACATGGCAATCTCTTTTTGATGTGGAATGGTGATTCGGAAACAGTCTAGGACAATTCTTTGAAAATCTGAAGACGAGATAACTGATTTATTTGTGTGCATTATGGTCTGAACGCTTTTGTTTTCCATACGGTGGCCTGCTTAACTAATTTACCACAGATCACAATGCGTCTAATTTGCCCATTTATATGTTGGCTTCATGAACTGCCTGTTTACATCAAACTTTAATCGGCTATTTCATCCCAAGATTCACCAGTTATTCCTTGGACGAATAACATTGTTACGGGGTAAATAGTATTCCCTTATACACTAAACTTGGTCACTGTTAAATACTAAAGAGCTTACTTTAAATATAGTTGAAGCACAATGCATTTGAAGTTCAGCATTATCCCGTTTTAAATTTTTCACTAAATCACCGATCATACCTTCAGTACGTATTGCAATACGATAACTTTCCTGAATAAGAAAAAATTGAAATTAGTAGAATGCTTGAATTGGTTAGAGAAAAATTTATGAAGTGAATGAATAGCATTCGTTAAAACAGTTTGTTTTGTGATAAATCTGACGAAAAATATGGCAAATATGTAATAGCACTAACCATCTTAGCATTTTTTGAAGAAGGTCCATGGAAAGCAATGACGATTGCTCATTTAACAGAAATATTTACAGTTTTACTAAAGGAAGAAACTAATGACTTAGATTTGAAGAGTCAGTTTGTAAGGATCCGATTTGTTTCACGTTCGACTATGGATTGAAAACCGGGGGATACTGGACAAATGTTTCGTCTTAGTTTGGGAGTCTTAAGCAGTTCACACCCAACAGGGTTCGAACCCAAGACCTTCCGGTTATTAGGCAAGCCCGAAGACCATTCAGTCACTGGGACCCTACTTAATAGCCCACGAGTTCTAACTTCTACTGATCCGTGGTTTTAGAAGTCGGAATTTATGGGCGATTGAGTTGGATCCTAGTGCCTGAATGGTCTACAAGCTTGCCTGATAACCGGAAGGTCCTGGATTCAAACTCCGGTGGGTGCGCAATGCCAATGAGTTCCAAACTAGGACGAAACAGTTGTCTAGTACTCCCTGGTTTTCACTGGTTCTCTAAATGGTTCATCCAAAGGTCGGAAGTATTATCTGAAATCAAAAATTGATTTCCTTAAATTTCACATAATATGAATCACATGGTTTTAAAATCAGTTAAGCCTGTAGTCATGAAAACGTCGCTAAGAAAGCTTCCATCAGAGTCGATTTAAATGAAGTTTGTCAGATTCATGGAATCGAAATTATATGGACCTGCACTGATGAGGTGGATATCCAGCAGCCTTGACAAACTGAAACATGGTCTTAACTGAAACTGAGGATTTCAATTAAATCTGTGGGAGAAAACGTCTCCGGTCACAAGATTTTATGACATACCATATATCTGTATTCGTGTTGCTTCTAACAGTGAAATCGTAGTGGAATTAAAAAGCAAACTAATAAATACTACGACATAAAAAGATGGAAGAAACTAAGGTAGATTTTGAAGTAATATATCATTGTAACAGAAGACTATTTTAATGATTTTTAGTTCTGAATTAGTTATTAGATAGTATCTAATTAGGTGAAGTTTAAACACTAATTTATTGTCTATAATCATGTGAAATAAAACTGTAGCACTTCGATAATTTATTTTTATTGCTGTAAATTCTTCTTATTTCTCTTTTTTGCGAATGCTGTGCTTCCTGGATATTTCAGTAGATATCAATTTTCCCACTATATTTATCGTGGGTTAATTCAATAAATAACCAAGCAAAACAGTGATTCACTGAACGCTACGACGAATTTACTTGATGACTACTAAATATCAAGTGTTGGTTTGCAGGAATTTTATTGGCTACTGGGTCGACCACAAGCAGATATCCGTTACAGAACTACTGGAAAACTAGGGAGTATTGGACAGCTGTTTCATCTAGTGGGAAGTCATGAACAGTGGAGTCCACCAAGTCAAGCAGGACAACAGTTACTCACCCATGACATTGGCAGGCGGTTGCACTGAATATATCGCGAATCTGCAGAAGTTGAAATTCGTGTACTGATCATAGAATCGGACCCCGGCGGCTACGAGCTAGCCTTGTAACCTGAAGGTATTGGGTTAGAACTCTGGTGGGCACGTCCTGCTGAAAAGTCCCAGCTTAGGAATACTAAATAGTCTTAAACGAATATATCCTAACATCAGGAGATCGTAAAAGACGCTCAAAGACTGGAGAGATCAGGTGTTTTACCAGGCTATGCATATACTGTGGCATGACTGCCTGCAACTTTAACTTCCTGAATAATCCTGTGTATTTGAATGGCCTAGGAATATATCTTATATCACTGATCTGCTTGATGTTCTCTTTTAAAATCATTTACACTACAAGGTGTATCACACCACCAAACAAATAGAGTAAGAATGGATTCTTAAGCATTTTCATTTGTGACAACCCTATACATAAAAGCTATGAAAGAGGTAATATTATCAATTTCAACACAGACTTGGTACATTACTGGCCCCAGGGGATAGGACAAAAGAATCTGACGCATTATATATACACAAGAAGCAGAATAATTAAAGGACTTGGAATTTGAACTTTCTTGTCAAGTGATTTACTTTTTATGAGCTGGTAAATTTGGCCTATATTAATATGTTTGTTAATCACTGATTCACTTGAGTATCAGGCTTCTAGAAGTTCCCTGACACTTTTGGTGTTTCCTCTATTTAAAATTTCTAAATTATCCCAATCAAATTGGCGTCCGTAATTATTCACATGCACTAATACGAAAGAATATACATCATGTCCTTTTACAACTAATTTGTGTTCTTGGATTCGTATTCGAAGGGGACGTCCACTTTGATCGATGTAATGTTTATTGTAGATCATACAATTTATTTTGTAAATGGTAAAGACATGATATATATTCTTTAATATCAATGCATGTAGACAGTTATGGACACCAATTTGATTGAGATAATTTAGAAATTTTAGATTGAGGAAATAACAAAAGTGCCAGGGAATTTCCAGAAGCCTGGTACTCAAGTGAATCAGCGATTAACAAACATATTAATATAGACCAAATTTACCAGCTAATAAAAAGTAAATCACGCGACAAGAAAGTTCAAATTCCAAGTCAATAAAAGTGATCAGTAGAGATGTAAATCAACCACTACTAGTCACGAAGATGGCTGCCAGGAGACACAATGATATCACTCATGGAGAATTCAAATGAGTTCATTTTATACTAAAACCTGCTCTGAAGGTGTTGTCCAGAAGGACAACGAAATCTTTGCAGCTAAATTGACCAGCTCAGAGAACACAACTAGTTCGAAATCATTCATCTGAGCTACAGATCTTCGCTATTATTTCAAAACCTCAGAATTACTTACGTGACGATGCTACCGGATGTAGGAGGCGGTGGTAATAGAATATATAGAGTCACTGCATATTCTCTGCTTAACACACACGCACCAAAGCAGTATAAGCCTGATCTTTGACAGTCAAACTAGCATCATGATGGTATTAGAGATGTACCTGGATGGCATATATCCCTTTGGTTCACACTATACACTTAGAGATCTCATTTCACACCTCCACCAGCACTCACACAACTGCCATGACACACGAAGTTATCGACTACTTCTTACGGCTAACCTGGGAGGGCGATTTCAAGTAGAGGCTCTTCGTAGTCATACAACGATACTTTGCACGTAAAAGGTACCATATTTGCAGACACTGACGGCCCATTGAATAAGTGCGATTTGGGCAGCCTGTATGTTATCGCATAGTCTAAATTTCTCGCAACATTCATTGTTTGGATATTTTGAATAACGACTTTGAAACAAAGTAAATAAAGGACACACTTGTTTTCGCTGAGTTTCCTCAGCTCAGAGAATACAACACCAATTACATCCATCTAAACTAGAAATCTTCTAAGGAAAGACGTACAAATTAAGTGGAAGGAAAACTGGAGCTTGAGAGTTTATAACTATTATGCATAAAACATTACTGAATGAGGAAATTTTACAACATTCAAGTTTCTATACATTTTCTAAACTGCATATATCCATAAAAAGTTAATATAAACCAGGAAAAGTTTTAAATTTAAATATAATAAATAAAATTAAAGACTAAAACTATTTCTATCATGACAAGACGATAGCTACTTTTAGTAATTATTTACGCGTAGCTATGGCAACTGATTAACTTCAGACTTATCTTACAGGAAATGACTGATGACTAATTACTGATTACCTTTGGTCGGATTATATTTTAAATTTTTTTTATCCTCAAAAGCCGATAATTGTGTTTTTATGCTTATCAGTGCTTGTAGTAAGCATGGAGTGAGATAAGAATAAAATTAAAGGACTTGGCCATATAAGGTATGATAACATTGACAAAAGAACAAGTTCAGATTGTCAAAAAACGAGTTGTTTTCAGTCAACCATACTGTAACATTTTCAAGTCATTGAAACTTTGAGCAGAGAACAAATCTATGGTTTAATTAACATTTTCACTGACTGTTCAATAATCTAAAATTTTACAGGATTTTCATCATGAGCTGACATTAGTTAGAGAACCATTGGAAAACCTGGGAGTACTGGACAGCTGTTTCATCCTAGTTTGGGACTCTTCACAGTACGCACCCACCGCGATTCGAACCCAGGACCTTCTGGTTACAAGGCGAGCTCGTATACCATTAAGCCACTGGGACCCGATCCAATGGCCAGCCCATGAATTCTAACTTCTGCCAATTCACGACATAGCGCGACCCCTAGCCAATGTCTTCGGCGAGTATTTGTCTTCACACCCTACCTGCTGCACCCTACTAAATGTATGTCAACTAGTAATCTGAGGAATCTTTCTGTGAATACATCTCATGATTGTTGGCTTCTCAAGTATACCGTTCATTAAATATGACTGTAAATAGTAAATTGTGTCTTAGATTTCATCCATAGAGTAATATTATTTCATTGTTATTATTATTATAACTCAAACACAAACGTGATATATAATGGGCACCAAGAGGTATGCTACACAAAAGCTCATAGTTTCTGCGAGGGTTCGATTACTGTCTAGAAGCCCAGATAGAAGCAGGTAGTTGTCTTATAAAGCCACACTCGAAGCTTTGACTCGAAGTCCTATCCCTACAAAGTAGTGAAGCAATGTCAGGAGATACCCTTGCATAGTTACCGGTGTCCAAAACCGGTCCATATGATTGAATTCTGGAGCCCACGCACACCACAGATTTGGAATCATGGTTTTCTAGCTCAGCAGAGTAGACCAACATGTCCACCAGTCCAGTTGTAAGCACCAGAAGTTCACATTTGCTGTTTTCCTTTTGTCAGGAACATTACCGCCACGTTGAGGCAATGAATAGATTTACATGGTGGATATACTGGTCAAGTCTCCACCCATAAAGATACTATTTGTAAGTATTGTAGAGAATAATGGTTACTAAAGTGAAGAAAACGGTCAAGGAAAATTGTTAAAAAATTAGAATTAAAGTTATGGAGATTATTTTCAATCAGTTTATTCACAAAATGGTGTAGTGTACAGCGTTTATCATCTATCCCTGAGGATGTGCTTTATGTTGACATTTTACCACTTGGTTAGTGATTTAAATAGACTATAGACGCTGAAAACAAGTAAGTGAACCTTTCAGGGGGAAAAAGCTCTGATTGACACATGAAGATAAGGCAGTTACTTACTTCAGAAGCACATTCTTGTAGAGTTCCAACCACTGGAATAAGCATGTTTTCATGTGGAGATTTAAGTAGACGAACAAGCAGTGATATAACGCCGGCACGTTTCATAGCAAGTTTATTTTTTCTTGATTTACTGCACGACCATAAAGCTAATGCACCGCATCGTGCTACTTCGATATCACGTTCAACTTCACTTGTCATCGGCACACTGTTTAAACTAGGACAGTCGAGCAGGGCAACCTAAAGATAAAATAGTGTGTTACAGAGGTCACTACCACTTAGAAGCATTTAAGGGTTTATAAATCAGATTTCACATTTCCAAGGGATTAATAAGAATAAAACTTTAGTTGTCATAGCAGTCATTATCGTGAACTCCATATATCTTAACCAATAGACAGTCACTGACAAGACTCCGTGTTTCATTTAGTTCCTCTGTTTTCATCACCAGTTAGCGTGACGTACTTGCGGTTTGAAAATACCCATATTCCTTGAGAGATATGAGGCTGTGCTAACCATTTTCAACGACGATGAGTTTTTCAATTCAAATCTACTCCACCCATCCCCAAATACTATCTCTCACTCTATTGTCTTACTTTAAAAAGATTCCTTATGGTACTAAAAACTAAGAACTTCACAGCTAAATCAACCAGGATTCGGTGATCAATAATCTCTAAGAATATGCGTCGGTCATTCAGAGATAGAACTCTCTCCAACCACGCACGTGGTCTAGGGATCAACCCTCGACTGAAGCAGTCCTAAACCTCTGTAAGCTGGTGAAGAAGGAAGGTTGGGTGTGAGTCTAGCAATCTCACTCACTGCTACCGAGACTTCATAACTCTAGCCTGAAGCGCTATGTTCCACTGGGAACAGGAATGAAACAAATAATCTTTGGGATTACTGAAGAAACTGTATCTTTAATAGTATTTAACAGGTATTCAATACTCCCCAACTGGCAGTCTGTTCACTCTGTTGTCCAAATTCTTCTATCGATTGAAACGAAACACTGACATTTTGCCATTTGCGTAACTAAAATTACATAGACAGTACGAAGTTGGTGGCATTTAAGACACATCACATGATCTCTTTTTTATAGTTCCATATGGTCGGCTTTTTTCGCATGTACTAATTGGTAGTTATCCTGCAACTCGGAGTTTATAAAATGTCTTAGAGAGTTATGCGTAATACAACTTTTAGAAGTCGGAAGTTGAAGAATGCATCGGTGAAATTATAAGACTGCAGTTGATTTATGTAAGGAAATTAGCAGATAGTTACGATTTACTTCGGAGGAATTTTTTGTCATTAATTTCGAAATTTCGTTTTTACGTCAAAAGCACCAAATTGATGATGGTAAAATCAGGTAGTTTTAGAACACGAAATTTTATTTTTTCTCTAATCAGCTTAACTGCAGCATAAAAATATGTCACTATTATAATTCATTCCTTGCTTTCTGAGTGGGACATAAAGCTTCAGCAACATATCTTCATTACACTGGCTTCTCTGTTATCACTAAAACCTAGCTTCATGACTGTGCACACGCCTTTCTTTTCCTTCACACGTGATCTTTCTACTAAGGTTCCACTGGATAGTCTGCCTGGAGTGTGACAGTGCTTGAAAGTCTTCTCAATGTATATTTATTTCATCCCCATTTCTTTCAGCATTTTTGTGATATAATAGGTTGTTGACTGATTCTCTGTCAGGGTTGTGCTTTGTTTATCCTGTCTGGCCATTATTATTATTATTATTATTATTGTATCCTTTAATTCCTAGAGGAACATAGGGCTTCAGCCGTGAGTCCCCATTGCGTTCGGTTCTCTGCTAGAGTCTTCACCTAGCTCCATGTCTGCCCACACGTTTTCATCTCTTCTTCACATCACCTCCTCCAAGTCACCCTTGCACTGACGACCAACTCGCCGCTTGCCTTTCGCGTTCCACTCGAGCAATGGCTTGTCTAGTGATGTCACTTGATAGTTTGTTTCCTCAGAGTATGGCCAGCCAATCCACCTCCATTTCTTCCTGCCTATTTGTTTCACAATCGGTTCCTGGTTGGTTCGCTCCCAGAGATCTCTGTTGCTGATATTTTCTGGCCATCTGATCTTGGGTATTGAGCGAAGACAACTGTTAATGAAGGTCTGTAGTTTGTTTGAGATGCTTTTTATGACGCGCCAAGTCTCTGATCAGGCCATCATAATAGGCGATTATTCTGAAGCATTTTACATGAATTTTATTAATGAGCATTTTTACCACCGTCCTTTAACTTTATTGCATTAGCCTTTGTTTAATAGTTTTCGAAATGATTTCTCTTAAATAGAATCTTAGTTTCTCAATTCTACTTGCATGTATTCTCCTATCCGGAGTTTATCAAAACATTCACAAAAAATACATATATACAAATTATAAATATGAGATAAACCAACAGAATATGAAGGCATTATCCAACTAACAAATCAAAACACTGACATGCACAAACTTACCAAGCGTTTTATTCCACCATACTGTCGAACTGTACGTCTTGCACGATGAAAATTAGCCACATTGGCTATAACTTCTGCGCTCAAGCATTTCAAATCACGATTTGGACTACGCAGTAAATTTACCAGTGGTTGTAAACCGCCAATATCAGCGACAGCTTTGCGAATTTGTGGATTTTTAGTAATTTCTTTTAAAATTTTCAATGAACCAAGCTATGACCGAACAAAAGAAAAGAGGAGAATGAAAACAAATACTAAAACTCTCAAATAATTGAGAATTGAATTCAAAAATAACTAGAGCTTTAGACAGCCAGCATTATAATGAACTGGAATCAGTTTAAAAGAATCGACGGGAAGTAAGGAACCACTGATGATATATTCAGTTCTAGTTTTAGCCATTTGAAGACTATACATCTGGGACAGTTAGACCTTTTTTGGAAGTATGATGCTCTTCAGGCGTTCAAAATGCATTCACCAGCTAAGATTTATCTCTGAATATTCATGTATAAAAAGCTTGAGAAATTCCGTTAAAATATATATTACATTTGGAAGACTGATGGTTAGAACTTAAATCATTCAAATAAAGAAAAACTTATACTGAAATGATGCTGTGCAATACTAAATAAGATTCTATTTGTCAACATACTATTAGAAAATCCCACAAACCTTATGATGTATACTAAGGTGTTCATAATGTTTTGTTTCCACCTTGAGAAATCTCATGTCTTCCCAGAAATTGCTCCAAAGCCACTGATTTCATCAGTGAGATATCCAAGTCGTAAAAGATTGATATTTTCTCAAGAATACAGAAAGAAACTGAAAACGAATCTAAAATCCCTTTTCTTGACGTTGAGCTTACAAGGAGAGATGACGGAACTTTAAGAAGGTCGATCCATAGGAAACCGACTTGGAACGGACAATTAACAAGCTTCTACAGCTGGGTACCAATCAGTCGGAAAAGAAACCTAATTAAATCCCTTGCCACTCGCGTGAGACGCATCTGCAGCTCCGACACCATGGAAGAAGAATTAAACTTCCTGAGGGAAATCTTCAAACAAAATGGCTACCCACCAAGATTTGTAGACAAAAACATCAAACAGAAAAACCAAAAGCAAGAGACACAATCCGTGCCAAAAAAGATACTTTATATGAACCTAGACTTCAAAGGAGACCTACTTAGCGACGTCCTCAGAAGGAGAATTTCCGCCTCTTTAGGAAGAACTTTCCCTGCGGCAACACTAAGAATAGTGTTCTCCAGTCGCCCGCTGATCTGCAGAAACCCAAAGGACAAGATTCCGCCCATGACCACTTCTATGTGTATATATCAGTTCACCTGTTGCTGTGGAGCCAGGTACATCGGTCGTTCAACGCGCATCCTGTCAAAAAGGGTCAAAGAACACTACCCAGCGTGGCTACAGAAAGGGAATAATGGCCATATAAGGAGTGCAATAATCGAACATCTAGTCAACACTGGTCATTCCATCTCAACGAACGCTTCCTTCAAAGTGATCTACAAAGTGAAGAACAACCTCCCAAAGACAGTACGATTTCGTCTTCTTTGCATCGCAGAAGCCCTAGCCATCCAGTTGGTGCAACCAGAACTATGTATACAAAAGAAAATTATCCAACCACTTCTACTCGCATGGTAACAACTCCGTTGATTTGACCCAACTCTTCTTTGTTTGTTTGATTTGACCTTACTTCTGTCTGTATGCTTATTTTTCTAACTTAAAACCCTTGTGTAATTCTGTATGTTATTTTGTTTCCATGCTCACCCTTTGAGTACAACTCATTCATCAAACTATTCTTGCCATTACGTAACTCTTATTTAACAATCACTTATGACAACTCATCACTTTTGTTACTACCCTCTTATATGAACATCCAATTCACCTGAACTTACTCCTCTTTAACAATCGTTTTTGACAACTCATCACTTTTGTTGCTATCCTCTTATCAACATCCAATTCATTTGAACTTACTAACCGTATTTTGTTTGACAAATTTAATGTATACACACACACAAAATAACCATATATATTTGCGATTGTACAGCTTTGAAAATGAATTCGCCGAAAAGAGACTCTTTGCTGATCTACTTGTCTTTTGTCTACTAATGTCCGAATGGGAATTATTCATGAATACAGAAAGATGTCAGACAACACGAAGTGTGGATAAACTCACTGCCACCTCTCTTTTTTTTATTCCTTCACGTTCCCAGTGGAACATAGGGCTTAAAGCTAGAGGCTTGAAGTTTCTGTAGCAGTATTTGTTTTTACAGGATGGGGTTGCCCAACCTTTCCTCTTTACCAGCTTTATTGCTGGCTTAACGAGGTAAAGGAGTGCGTCAGCCGGGAATCGAACCCCGGACCATGTGCATGCTTGGCGAGCATCCTAACCGCTGTGCCACCGACGCCGTACCACCTCTCAGGGAACAAATATTGTTGTCGAATAGAAGGTTATGGTGCACAACAGTGGAAATTAGTGTCAACACTTTTTTGATTACACGTCTACATTCATTATAGTGTGACAAACATTCGATACAGTTAGAAATGTGGTTGATTGGATACCTTCTGCTTCCCTAATATACTGACTTCGACCACCAGTGTGACTGAAATGTAATCGCAGGTAGCGAAATGTTTTTTTTTCATGATCATTTAAGGGAACTTCAGCTGTTTATTTTAGTGAACATGTGCGCACATGCCTTTGAATTCATAGTTTACTTGATCCATACGATTAACTATATTTTAAACTAGCGCCTACAAATTTGTAATGATTCAGTCTTGTTGTTAACATTTAGTTAGCTGAACCCAGCAGCAAAAGATTACTCTGTAAAAAATTATATTTGTAAAATCTCAACGAGATTGAAATGAGTAATTCTAACGTTTCGTTCGGCAATCTGGTCAGAACTTCTTCAGGGAAATTAATCAAAATTAACATAACAGAGGTTTATATGTAAAAGGAACATCACTTGTTTTTAAAAACTTTGTCCAATCATGATTCATAAACACAAGTATTAACAAGTATAATAAACAAAATTGTATGAGCTGTGATCAAAATTTGACCTTGGACTTACAAATATTGGTCTACTTTTGTTAAACACTTTAAACAGAGTGTGTATGTGTGTGTGTGGGTAAACAGTTGTAAAACATTTCTTAACGTTTCCATAAGAAGATATGGACAGTCGAGAATTTTGACCAAGTATTAATAATTAGTGATACATATCCATTTTTATTTATTAATTAGGATTTCCTATGCATCAGCTAACATCACACCTTCATGTCTGTTCACACTGTTAGTATCTAGAATTTTATGATTAGACGTATTTTCAAAATTATGGTGTTTAGGATTATAGTTTAGTAGAAGCACCCTGTCGGACTTATTGCTTTGTCTTCTTTCTGAAGATTGAGCTGCTTTATTCGACCTACTGGAGTTGTCAGGTGACTCGACAGCTACGGATTTAGGATATGCATTCTGTTGCAGACAACGGATGCTCCTTTTATATATAAACCTCTGTTATGTTAATTTCGATTAATTTCCCTGAAGAAGTTCGGACCAGATTGCCGAACGAAACGTTAGAATTACTCATTTCAATCTCGTTGAGATTTTACAAATATAATTTTTTACAAATGTCTACTTCTCACTCGGCGCCCAAATATTTTAGAACTATTCTGTCAAATCTTGACGACAGTTCATTTGAAAAGATTACTCTCTTAAGAATTCCAATGATTACGCAATAATTTGCTAAATAAGTCTTTTCCGGCGTTATTATGAATAAAAAATATCCCTTGTGGACCATAACCACCCCAAACTTCTTAAACCTTATCACATACGATGATACCAAGGAGCAGTAGAGTCACTAGGACGTTTTCTTCTCCGTCTTTAACCTGATCAAGTATAAATAACTATAAGTTATTTTCACTTAATTAATACGACTTCATTTTTCCATTAAGGTATATAACTTTTTATTCACTTCCTGCATCAGTTTAGCTTACCTTACAACGAACTTCATCAGTTTCAAGTAAATTGATAAGAACTTCAATCCCACCGACATCACGAACGGCCAGTTGACAAATTTCAGTTTTCAATGGCATATCTCTTAGCGCACAAAGTGATATAATAGTCGATGTTTGATTCCCTCCCTTTTTCAAAAAAAAAGCAAAAATTGTTTGAAAATGCATAAAACTAAAATCAAATAGCGCATACGATGTTTCATACCATTTAAATACATGGTATAATTTAGAAAACTGATGGAATAGAAGTAAATTATGCAGAATATTTAAGAAGATTATTGTTGACGTCTACTCAGTGATTTTTTTCATTAGTTGTTCATTCGTGTGTTCTTTTCTTTTTTATTCCTTCACGTTCCCAATGGAGCATAAGGCTTCAAGCGAGAGGCTTGAAGTTTCGGTGGCAGTGGTGTTTATTTTTACGGGATGGGGTTGCTAGCCTCATTCCCAACCTTCCCTCTTTAACAGTCTTACTACTAGATTAGAGAAGTAAAGGAACGCGTCGGCCTGGGATCGAACCCTGGACCACCTGCGTGGTTGGCGAGCATTCTACCGCTGTGCCACTCACTCACGTTTGTGTGTTATAACATCATAATAAGCTTGAGGCTTGAAGCATTTTGAGGAGTGTTTGAAATATAAAACAATTATCCACCTAGAAGCATGTAATTAACAAACGGTGATTGAAATTAGTTTTAAACTGTCTATAAATTATTCTTATAAAAGACGCTTTTTAAAAAATATAAATTGCCTAAAGAATGGTGAAAAATAAGAACCTTTAACCAACTTCAGTTTAGCTAATTGTTGATTCCAACCAACGGTAATTTAAGGTCTGAGAATTGACTGAAAAAATTGTTAACAAAACAGAATTAATAAAAAAAGTGACCTTTAACTGTCTTAGTCTGAAATTTATTAGTAAGAGTCCAGTGAAGTGTGAACCGTCAATAAATTTTCCAGATTCTGAATGAAGGTCTACTTTAAATTGAACTGTTCCACTCAACCTGGAACCGCTAGCAGTGAATCCAAAGACAATACGGGATATATCTTTATGTATGATCGTCTTTTCTTTTCCTTTTAATGCCAATGTCAAGCATTAGATCTGGAGTTGTACAACTTAACGTCAACTTAAACGATAGAATAGCTGATGAAATGTATTTATTTCTAAGAATTGTAACCGATGAGTATTCATAAGTCAGGTAGTATAGAATACCCTTAGTTTAACTGCTCCATCTTAATGTTCAACGAAGGAACTACTCTTTTAAATAGCGTCATAATTGCAGCTCGGTGATTAGCCTCAGTTACTAATTGGCTACCATTTCAATAACTAGTATGAACTCTGATGCACAACCACTATTCTGTTTCACCGAGGAAAACAATCACAGTTAAATAAGATGACAAAACAACTAACCTTCAAATATTTGACCATTTTACCAATTTGCCAATATTCAGATGGTAGGTCAACATTTGCATCTTGTCTTCTCTCGGGTATATCGTCTTCTAATTCAGTCTCACTCTCCGAACTTGGCTCACTACAGCTATCATCCAGTCCAGAAGAAGCACGTCTGCGTTGTTTTTATGTTTCAAAAAAAACAGTAATAACAGCAAGTTAATAAAAAGTAAAAACCAATTAAAATGTACGACTTTTTGGTATGAAACATTCAGAATGAAACGAAAAAAACAGCAGAGAAATAAGACAATTCAAAACGATTTTTTGCGTTCAAACCTTGGTATGGATTGATCCTTCAATCTTTCTATCGTGATAATATCCGTATATCTTCTGTAAATGATTTAAATATATACACACAATGAACCAAAGGATGAATAGAGAACAAACTACTTTCACACTGTGAGAAACAACACAAAAGGCCAACTAAACAAGCAAAAGAACCTGTTAACTGAAACAGCGAATTATGTAAGCTAAAGTCTATGCTATAAACAAAACACGAATAACAGTGTTGCTTTCTTTTATTTCTCCTACTTTTTTACTCGTTTCAAATCGTGTACACTTTTATTTTGATTGACATTTTCATCAAGAAATTCGATTGTATCATATACACTACTTATAACGGTTGTAGTAGTAGTATTAGTAGCAGTTAAATTAGTATGATTTTCAAAGAAATATAAATTTGTATTCATATCACAATTTTTCACAATCTCATCATTATTCATATTGTTGTCATCATTTTTATTAGAGTCATCTACAGTGGCTGATGGCTGTTCAGTGAAATTAATGTCACTGCTGTTAGCGTTATTATTGTTCATTGCACAACCACTATCCGAAAAAGCATCAGGCGAATTTTTATCAGACTCCATTGAACTGGATGTTGATGATGTAGATGATGATGATGACGATGATGATGATGATGATGGGAATGAAGAAACAGGTGAAGATGACAACAACCTGAAAATAATTTTGATGACAAGAGAGTAAAAAGTAAACACAGCGGAATAATTGACTAATTAATCAATAATGTCTGGATAAATTTTTTCGACTAAATGAGACAGTAATGTAGACAGTTGAAATTAATGTCTTGATGATATTTGCGTGATAAAGAATTGTTTTTACTCTTAGATTAATGATAAAATACGTTAACTGCTATCAATAATGTGATTCTGAGGCAAACATGAAAGGTAAGTCAGACTTCAAGTGTTTCCACGTACAAATTTCAGACTCGAAGAGTTTAGACATATTATGTCTGATATGTGGTTAGTGAAAAGTTTAAACACCTTGGCAGGTTTAATTTCCTGACTAAGAATAACAAACTTCAATAAAAATAACTATTAGGAAATGGGAATTGTTAACTGCTATATTTTGATTCAATTAACTTTCTTAAGCTTTCTTAAGCTTCAGAGACTTGACTCATCGGCAACAGCACTTCCAACAGGCTAATGGGGACCTTCTTCAGCATCTGTCTTCGTCTGATAGTGAAGATCAGCTGGTCAGTTAAGAAGGTTAAGGAATAGGGGACACTTTGTCAGTCTAGCTAACCTATCAACAACATATTACCCGAAAAGTATGCAGAAAGAAATGGCAATGGACTGGACGTACTCTTAGGAGACTGTCAAGTGACATCACGCGTCAAGCCGTGCAGTGAAACTCGATTAAGAAGTGACCGGTTAGGCGTCTGAAGAAGACATGAAGGTCATTTGATGAGGAGATGAAGACTTGTACGCAATTATAGAACTGGTTGAAAATGATGGCAGAAAACCGAATGGAATTTAAGAAATGCTGATGAAGCCATATATTCCACTGGGAATCAAGTAAGGAATGATCAACTGATACAACACAACCTGACAAATACAACGATCATCATGATACACTAGTTTACAGGAAGTTCAGACAAGCGCCTTATTACAGTTTTGTTTGTAGCACATCTACACAATTTAAATAATATATTTCTGAACATTCAGTCTTCGACAACTGAGAACCAAGAAGAATCGGAGAGTAGAGGAGATGTGCAAAGTTCTGCGTGATGCAAGTACTTCCATTAGTGAATCTGTAACACAAATTAAAGATGACTGTAATATTTGTCTTGAAGTTCACCTTACGTTATCTTATGTGTTTATCAGAGTAGGACTAGGCTGGGAGAAAGGAAGTGATAGACCCATCATTAATAGTTGATGTTGTTGACTACTGATCTAAACAACTTAGGGATGTACAGTTCACTTAGTAGATTCCCATGTGATAAGAATATATATATATAGTTTTCTATTTTCTAACCAGTCATTAAGCGTGTGATTTTGTCTTACATTAAACGACAGGAAACAGAATGTCCAAATAGATAAATCATGTTCTACTGCTAATACAGTACTGAACCGTGAGAATATGCCAGAATAATATTCCTTTGGAAAATATTGTCCGTAACACACCACTACAGTTCTATTTTAGAAATAATAGAAGGGTAACCAAGAAAAGAGGCGTTTGTGGCTTGGTGGTAGGACACTGGCCAACCAAGCAAGTGGTCCGGGATTCGATTCCCGACAGACACAGTCCTTTACCTCGCTTTGTCGATAATAAGTCAGGTAAAGAGGATAGGTTGGGTGTGAGGCCATCAACCCCACCCCGTAGAAAAACACCACTGCTACTGAAACTTCAGAGTATTAGGTTGATGCTATATGTTCCACTGGAAACGAGAATGAATAAAATTAAGGAAAGGCCATCTTAATCATTTAGGTTCTTTTGTAAAGTTAGTAGACATTCTAACAAAGATGATCATAATCACTTATGTTAAGTGCTGATAAAACTAGAAAATCACAAAAAATATTCCCATTGTATTTGTTCCTATTAACAAGGTTCTATATCTTTGTAAGTGCCCAATGTTCCTTCCTTTTATTCAGGCTGTAAGCAGCTGATAAGAAGCCAAGGAAATAGAAAATGATGGTACCATATTATTCTGCACAAGCCACTGTTGTTTGTGCTTTATTCAAATTCATTAAAAGGGGGAATAAATGCATGAAGAATTTTCTTTTGTACCAACCAGTTGGAAGCTACAGTTGAATTCTTCACTTACCGACATCCTCAATGCCTCTTTTAAATTTAAGCTCGAAATTCAGGCTTAACTTGTCGTCATCATCATGAGATCAGTTAAAAAATTAGTATGCGGTATTCTGCCACTATTATTATTATTGTTCCCTTGGGTTCCTAGTGGAACATAGGGCTTCAACTGCATGTCTCCACCTGCTTCTGTCTTCTGCTGTACTTTTCACCTGCATCCATGTTAGTCCATACTGTTTCAATTCCTCTTCACACGATCTCCTCCATGTCACCCTTGCACTGACCTCCCACTCGCCGCTTCCTTTTCGGCTTCCACTCGAGCACTGGCCTGACGCACGATGTCACCCAGCGAGTGGCCTCCTCAGCGAGTGTCCAATCCATCTCCACTTTCTCCTGCATATTTGTTGAGCGACTGGTTCTTGTTTTGTTTGTTCCCATAGCTTCTTGTTTGTGATTCTTTCCGGCCATCTGATCTTGAGTATAGAGCAAAGACAGTTGTTGATAAAGGTCTGCAACCTGTTGAAAATATTCTTTGTGACCCGCCAAGTTTCTGATCCGTATAGAAGAAGTGACTTGACGTTTGTATTGAAAATCCGAATTTTGTTGTTGATGCTGAGTGACGAAGATTTCCAGATTGGTTTCAGGTTAATGAATGTGTTTCTCGCCTTCCCGATTCTCGATTTGACATCCTCGTCCGTTCCTTCTGTAGTTGAGACAATGCTCCCTAGATAAGTGAATGAAGTAACCTCTTTCAAATCCCTCCCGTTGATGGTGATTAGCGCTGGATGTTGCTGCTGCTGTTGTTGGTTGGTTATTTTCATAACCTCCGTCTTGTCTATGTTCACCTGGAGTCCTGTCTTCTCCAGCTGCTTCTTCGACCAGTTTGTCGGTTTTCGCTTGTAAGTCTTCGATTTTGTGTGACATCAAACGTAAATCATCCACGCGTGAAATCCAGGTCTTCTAGGTTCTTCACATCGGTTCAGGATATCCCTGTCTTCTCGTTTCCCACTGTCTGACGCATAATCCAGTCCACCACAATTAGGAATGTCATTGGTGATAATAAGCACCCTTGTCTGACTCCTGTGTTTACTCCAAACGCCTCGCTGAGTTTTCCGTTGTGGATCACTTGACATGTGCCGTTGTCGTACAGCTGTTGAATAAGGTTGATGAATATCTAGGGTACGCCATAATACTCGAGTAGTTTCCAAATTCTTCGTGGTCAACGCTGTCGAAGGCCTTCTCAAAGTCTATAAAGTTGAGGTACTGCTACTATGCTTCACGATAATTGTAAAAAACTGTGTTGTGCAGCACAAATATCTGAAGATTTTAAACAATTAGAGAGAGACAGAGAGTCGGCAGGAAAGCCTGGACCAGCAGTTGCTTATTGGTACCCTTCAGCGACTAATACACGTCTTGAGATTCTGACCCGCTTCACCCAGTACAGTCACTGACGATATCACTCAAACTATAAGTTATTCGATTAACTACACTATCATAAGCTCATAACAGATAGTCTAACCAATGACTCGATTTTCTGCTTAATAATTTTCAGCTAAAAAATCAGAATTTTATACTTCTTTTAACAATCAGCATGGTATGATGCTCATGAGAACATGTTACTTTTTAGAAAAACTTGTATAGGTATGAAAGTAACAAAAGCTGCAGATTCGAATATCATTTGTCCAGAGATACTGATGTGCAAAAATGAGCTACTGTTAACGTCTCACACTTGCAGTGTTCAGTAGACGAAAAATGAATAAATAAATAAAAATTTGTACTAAGGTTGATAAAAAATTTATTTATCAAATCAATTTTACAATGAAGCCTATTTGAGCATCATTCTTTCTTCAAAAGAAATGTAGGTTACTGCTGTATTTCTCCCTTTTCAAATGTTATGTTTTTCAGACACTTTAGTTAAATTACTTGGATTTTACTCTGGTTATCTCTAAAAGTGAGAGTTTAAACAAAATCCTCCGATATATCTGTCGTCTATGTTGTTTGTTTGTTTCCTGTTATACGTTCATCAATGTCTATTGTGAAAATACACAATTACGCGGCACTACACGCTATTTTTAAACATGATTACTACGTATTCACTAAACAATGAATGATATAACCTGCACATTAATGAACAAGAGGATATAAAACAAGATATTAACTTCATATTTTAAACACATTATTCGCCAGATGAATCTTCAGCCAGACTGTTGCGTTAAACGTTAAAATTCTGACTGAATTCTATAAGTTAGATTTGCAATGTGGTCACCATTCTAGGTAGCTCATGGTGCACATTGATTTGATGATATTATATGGTTGGAGGCAATCAACAGGAAGCCTTGAACCTCGGTTCCGTACTAACTGTCACTCACCAGTCAGCAAGGAATTTCTGCAGCCTTGGAGGAACTCATGTCCCTTCTGAGATTCGAACCCGCGTCAGAGACGTCACTACTGTGCTATTCGAGCTCGCGATTGACCTCCTGTAGGACTGTAATGGATACTTTCATTAGACACTGGTAACTAACGTGATGTTGACTGATAGAACTCAGTCTGCTCCAAGCATGTCGGCTAACAGACAAGGATTACGGAATATGTATTTGTTTCTCGTCTTGCTAACTGAATTAGGTTCTAGATTACAGTACTTGAGTAAGTCCTGTTCCACCAAACGACAATCGAAATACTAGGACAAGAACTCATCAACTATTTTCATCATGGCAAACAGTCGCCTATGTGCTATCAGACTAAATGGTTTTACGAGGATAAGGAAAAGTTGCAGTGCTCGTAGATGGAGGTAGACAGATAGTTTTGGTGTAAGCAGTTGGTGGTTGATTTGGCAGAAGATTAACCCTCTTCCTGACATACACACGTAGATCCTGATCATAAGAAGTCTGTGAATATGTCTATGACTGAATGGACGCAATAAATAAGTGGTCGCAAAAATGTTACATATATAGTTTTCTAGCAGAAATGTCAACTGTGTGCATAGAAAAGAGTTAAATAACTATTTATCCCAGCGCGATATGAGTACTGAAAGCAAATAACCAAGTACAGTGTCAAGTTCCTTATGAAAACGGTGGTGGAAATTAGTGAGAACTTGCAAAAAAATTCACAGTTTCCAGCAAACTTCTGTAGTTTCACTTAAACTAATCAACGTCAGGAAACTAACCCAGTGAACTTTGAGTGTAACAATCGATCAAAATCGATTGAAAGTCATTCTCATAACCACAAACAATGGTGGCAGACGAAAATAAAGGTGACAGGCCAAAATGGTCAAATCTTATTATCCATGGATGTGACTCTGTTTGGTTTTGACCTTTCGGAGATCAACTATCCACCACGAAAATCCCTCGTAGATTTTAAGTACACAGATCGTATGTTCCCTCCATTTACAAATGATGACAAAATTTGAAATCTTCTTAGTACTATTTACAAAAATAGAGTATCCATGACATAAATTTCAATCCTGTCAAATGTGAAAATACTATAGGACTTGTATGCGCCAACTCCTACTGTGAGAACAAGGAGCGAAGTATTTGAATGTGTTGAGCACTTCACTTATTTGTAGAGTTGCCTTAGTGCTAGAAGACTGGTTGCTAGCCAGATTTCTGTATGGATGCAAAAGACTCGCTTGAACTTGTCAACTTACGTGATCTTCAGTGCGGGTGTGATATGCAGTTGTCCATTATATGGTGTGTGTTCTGTGCAGTAGTTGGCTGTTGAACAGCCGTACAGGCTGTAAGGCACGAAAACTAAAAGTAAATATAAGAGACCACATGCTTCACACTAGAGGTGTGGCACTTACTAGAATTTGCTAAATTTCTCAGAACTCACATGCTTCAAAATTACGGGATTTTTGTCGGCAATACACATTTTAAAATTTATATTACTATTATGTTCCTAGTAGTTAAACAAAAATAAAGGTAATTTTTTCGTCTTTGAGAAATGTACTAACTTTGAACTTTGTAATAAGATGAACTGATTCGAACGGTTTCAAGTCGTTTCGTCAAGAATCCCAGAGTATTAGTTCTTGGCATATAGAGAGCATCAGTCAAGTGGTCTACGCTTCCCTATTAGACTCAGACCAACATTTAATGACTTCAAGGACCAACGTCATGTTTTCGTCTGATTACGATAAATTGTTGCCCTTAATAATCCTATTTCAGCTAATTCTTATCGCTGCGCAAGACAGTGTCTTGGCACACTTACCAAGTATCATAGCCACCTAGACTAATTAGGCCTTATAATCTCAATGACTGACTTTTTCTCATTGTCTAAAACTCCATGCCCAACCACATTATTGCATAGTATAACTGCATCTAACCTGAAAAACTAAACAAAGGCATCTGTGATTTCTTATATCTGTCTTCAGCTGTACAGTACACACACCATATAATGGACATCTGCATATCACACCCGCACTGAAGATCACGTAAATTGACAAATTTCAAACGCGTCTTTTGCATCCATATAGAAATCTGGCTAGCAACCAGCCTTCTAGCAGTAATTCAACTCTACAAATAAGTGAAGTCCTCAACGCATTCAACTACTTCGCTCCTTGTTCTCACAGTAGGAGTTGGTGCATACAAGTCCTGTAGTATTTTTACATTTGACAGGATTGAAATTTATGTCATGCATACTCTATTTTTGTAAATAGTGCTTAGAAGATTTCGAATATTGTCAACATCTCCAAGTGAAGAAAATATCTAGTCTGTGTAGCCCAAATGACATAGTTTCCGTTTCTTATTCGTAAAAGGAATATCATACCTTGCACCAGATGTTCATATTTCCAGACTCTCTGGTTTCGTTTTAACTATAAGTTGCCTCAATATTTATCATTAATTGCTAATGCTTGCTGTTGATCAGACTCCACTAAGTGACTACAAGTGAAATGATCAGATCCACTTAACCTGCTTTTCTCACAACTTCTTAAATACTGCATATGATTACATACGAGTAGATGCTTAGGATGATTCAGCACACAAATAAGCAAAATCTTTTCGTGCAGTTCAAATATTCAAAACCTGATATGAATGCACAGACTGTTACAGAAATTTTAAAACTTAATAGTAATGAACTAATGACTTTGATGTAGTGTCTTACTTTTCATATGACAATAAATAACATATACAGGTAGTAAATAATGTAGCAGTCAAAGAAGTAATAACAAAGAGAACAATTTCTCTGGTGCATTGGACTACAGAGATTGTGGTTGTTATCTTTTTTAGGTGAAATTGAGAGATGCTAAACTTCTGTAGAAGTTGGCTTCGACACCTCAAATGTTACATATTTTCTTGGCTTCTAATATGCCTTGCTGACCAGTGTCAACATGCTCATACTGCCGTCTAACATTCATAGGCAACTGAACCATTTAAGTAGTTAGCACCAAAACAACTGCATACCACAGCATGCATCACATTTCACACTCTGTAGTGAAATTTCAATCAGCGAGTAGAAATAAATGGCTGCATTTCAAATTCATGCCTTTTTCATACACACAGAAAGTTGTCTTGTCGCAAATCAGCAGAAATGATATTTAACAAGGATTTCTAGCGAAAAGTATCCACAAAGCGACTGGTGTACACGTTTCAACAAATGTTTCTCTCCCAGATACTTAAATAAAGTGATAAATGATCAGTAATGAAAATATTTACTGCGTATGTAAATATACTAATAAGCTTGTTCGTTCTAGGCTAGCATAAAAATATATGCGAAAAATGGCTTTCCTTACTTGGTATTTTCTAGTACCATAGTTTTTAAATGTTCAGTTGATACAAAGAAGAAACTGAAACATAAAAACGTAATAAAAGAGCACGATAAGGATATCAGTTTTAATGAGGTAAATCAAATAAAAATGTTTTTTGTGTTTAAATAAAACATATACAATTACTTTACTTTACCTGCTTCCTCCCGTATAGTTTGTTACTAATAACAACCGGCACCTCATTAGTTTGTGAAACAAATTGGAAAATTTAAAAGTATATAATACCTTAAGATAACTTTCATAAATAAACAAACAAGGTCTCAAAATCATAATTTGTTGAAAATTTACTGAAAATCAATTTCACTAGTAACAGTGATTTTTCGAGGAGGTAATCATCCCACCTATATATATATATATTATTACTTCTGTGACATGCATAGATATGAGTATAGGAAAAGCCCAAAAGAATTTTGTGATGTGCTATTCTGGTGAGAAGGAATCAGAACAGGTTGTCTAGTAAAATTGTGGGGCAGACCTCGACGAAAGCTCTGTCACATCAAGGTGTTGAGGAAAGGAGAGATTCATTCAAATTAATTATCTCAAGTGTTAAAATAAACCACACCAAAATCAATCACATTACTCAAATTCTATAATAATATTAGTACTTTTTGTTAACCTAAATGCTCACATTAGCGTGTCATCTTGATGACTAGATAGAAATTAGCCAATTTGCATAACATAGCATGTACGCCGGTGGCACAGCGCTTAGGACGTTCGCCGACCATGCACACTGTCCGGGGTTCGATCCTCAGACGACGCACAGCTGATATCAATGGTCGGCCTGCTAAATTTGGGCCAGCGGTATCAAATACTCAAAATTCCATACTTGTACCGAAATACTGTGTGGAATTAAACTATAATAAACTTTAAAAAATAAATAATATAAGTGAATAGTCGTACGTAACTTAAATGTTGCAAAATTAATGACGTACTGAAATTACCATATGACTCTCATCCACTTATGGGTAACTATATGCTTGTTTTTACATGCAGTGTTTTAGCAAGTTTCATTAAATGATTTATAGCTTTAAGTTCGGACAAATCACTCTTATTAGTTGCGTATTACCCCTCGAAATCTTAAAATTCGAAATTATCCCTAGACATTTGAATGTAGATCAGTAGGAAAGTGTATTACATTTTTATTCTATGAGAAACCCTATAAGCAGTGACTATTATTTCACGAAGTTTTGTCAAACTTGGCCACAAAATCGAAATGGAAAAAATACAGCTGCAGAATTCCAAATACTTCATGGGGATTTTTATGATAAATGAATATATCTTCCTTACTTACACAAATACTGATTAGTTCAATGGTTGTAGGTTCATTATCTAAGCTCCGTCTTAAGTATTGTCTTCTGTGCGTCAAATATAACACGCTAAAAATTAGTAAATGTTTTGACTTTTTCCCCACTGCGAATGTTTCTGAGAGAACAAAGATATGGAAGCTAATTACTATAATCCACAGAAGAGATAATATTTTTGCATTGCTCCATAAATCATAGTTGAGTTAAACATAAATGCAGTTAAGGGAGTCAGAGTATTTAGAAGTTCAATTTAGTACTTAACTATATCGGATAACTTTTTCACAACGCAATGTAAAGTATTTTATTCCACTTACTAGATAATTTCAAGCTCTTTAGAGTTCTTTTACTCTATGGTTGAAAATCCCTTAACAGACTTAGCTAAACGCAATCAGCGGATAATTTTTAACGAGAAAAACAGCCGGCTTTTATTGAAAATGCATCTGCAAAATGAATTAGGCAGGTATGAAAGTGAGGATGGGACGAAGAAAAAGAGAAATTGTAGATTTCCATGGAGAGAAATCAAGCGGAATATGCTGAGTGTTTTATAAAAGCTGTGAAAATTAAGGCAGCTAATGATGAACCGAAATAGTTAAAGAACAAACAGTGTATTACGGAGAAAATAAAAAGTCAACCATTGGTCCACAGCAGAGTAAAGGAACCTGCATTAATGTTTATAGTTCAGAAAGTAATAAGTGTTTAATGCTTTCAGCAACCATTTGAAACGCAAAAGACACCCTTAAGTAAGCGTTTGTCGAGTTTTCAAGTCTCATTTCCGGCCTTCACAATACTACTATTCATGTTTATGTTCAAGGAGTTGAATTATATAAATTGAACAAAATGACTTCGTGGATCTTTAAGCAGAGGTTTTATCTCTCAAAAATGTATTGGCTTTATTCATCAATATGCCAATACTAAAATTGAAAGGCTGGATTTCTTTATAGTTTACTGAACTTCAACTAGTTTGTACTATAGTACAAATGTATTAGAAACATTAACACGAAATCTAGTTTGTAGTAATCTTTATAACGTGCATTTGTCGTAAAATAACGGCCGGGAAACACTCTTCGATAGTTTCACCTAAATAATCGCACCCTGAAACTCACATCAATGGTCAAACTTAAAATATTCAAAATCGCACTCTAACACTTCACCATGAGAACAGCAGTGACCTAGAATCAAAGTAGTATAACAAACTGTCAACTGTGTCCAATGGAAGTTTCTGTATTAATTTTTAACTTCCTCAGTTATTACCTTGATTTTTGTTTCCTTTATATGACATATATGGTTTTATATTATCTCATCAAATGTACTACTTTCATTATTTCACTGTGTTCAGTTCCTTCGATTTTCAAATTTTTAACAGAGTATTGTTTCAGTCTTTACTTCAATTTAGAATAGTGCTTGATGATTAAAGTACGCGTAGCCCCTGTAGAAAGTGGTCATGCTTTATTCAATGAAGTAAGGACAAGAGGCGTGGGAATTTACTGGTGAAAATAAGGACAGTGTCACGAGATATTATAAAGGAATTGCGTATTTCAGTTTCGCTGGAATTTTACAGATACACTTTTTATGTATGTCTAATTCTTACTTGGCACCCAATTATTTTGGAACTGTTCCGTCAAATCTTGACTACAGTTCATGTGAAAGGTCGGTTATGTTAAACAGGTGAAATTCTAAGTGAATGTCAGGAATTATCATTTTTTATTTTTCTACTGAAAGGATTTGATTTGAAGTACGGGAAGTGTCATGCATCCTAAATAAGTTCATTATACCTCGAAATTGATGTCGTAGATTATAAATATGGCTTTAGCTGGTTTGGAACGTGCATGAACAGTCGAATGTAACATGACAACGTTTGTTCAGCCTATCAAGTTCATAAAACAGTGAATATCTTTTTCCCATAAAGCTGCTCGAATCAAATATTATTATTTCAAATGGTTGCTGAAAGCATTAAACACTTATTACTTTCTGAACTATAAACATTAATGCAGGTTCCTTTACTCTGCTGTGGACCATTGGTTGACTTTTTATTTTCTCCCTAATACACTGTTTGTTCTTTAACTATTTCGGTTCATCATTACCTGCCTTAATTTTCACAGCTTTCATAAAACAACATATTTCTGTGTATAGTCGCGGATCACTTAAAACTTTCTCTTGCCCTCAATGTGACATAATTTCATCTCATTTCAAGAAATCGACTGAAGAATAAGCAAAAATGGTCGACTAATAAAACTGGAACTGGTGTGAGGATTTCATCATGAGCCGACATCAGTCAGAGAACTACCGGAAAAGCTGGGAGCACTGGACAGCTGTTTCGTCCTAGATGTTCAATCAAACAAAATCCCTACAAAACCAATACTTGAAAACGAGAATTCTAGGACTCAATAGGCACAACCCTACTTCTGCTTAACTCAACTCAGAACATTTACTTAAGTCTCATAACATTGAATCTGTGGATACTAGGCACTAGGAATTTGGCTTATTGAGAGCTTATGATAATACTAGTTTCAATGTTTCCACCGAATTAATTTTTAATGGCTGCCAGAAAGTGTAACCTGTGGGAAGTAGTAGCACAAACGACAATTGTGGTCGACGCAGTAGAATTACTGCTGAGGTGGAGTTTTTGGCAGGCCACACGCCGATGTTACGTGGCAGGTATTGGATGATTATTCAGAGCAAGAAGGGGCTGAGTCAGCATTAATCACATTGGGCTCACCAGTTCTAGGAAACCCATTAGTTAGGCTGTTTCAACGACTTTGAACTCGATTTCAGTTGGTCTTGACCAGATATAACGCTCATGATTGATGTGCGGCCACCAATCCTGCTAGACCCGGGAGTTGGACACATTATCCGCTGACTCCTAAGCCTGGCCTACCTGATCTGATGGCCGTTTTTCAGGCGGGTAATGTCAAGTTTCAATAAATAAGCCAAAAATACCAGCATCATCTCATGAAAATCCAAAAAATTTTGAATTTACTGTGTCTTCCAACCCATCACATTCAGTTAGTGTCAGTATCAAACAACATTTTCTGATAAAAGTTTAGCAAATTTAATTCAGTTTAGGAATATAATGCCACCGATAATATGTACATCAGGAAAAATTCTTGTGCTCAATATCATTTAGAAACCATATTAAAACAATAAATTTCCGTCAAATCACCACAGCGAGAGACTACAACGCTGCAATTCACGAGGGCATTCAATAAAGCCGCTTATTGGATCTAGATGATGAAAAGCGCTGTCGTCTTCAGTGACTCTAGCGACTGAGGAGGTGAAAACTTTGACTGTTATCGTTTCTCTCATTATCTGGTAGTCTATCCAAATAATTCAAAGCCTAATAAAGAAGTTGGCCAGCATATAAGTCCGACAATGCTATTTAGCAATCAGGTTGTCTCGGTTTCTAAGACTGTGACTGACTCCAAGAGTAAATTTAGCTAATAACCTAGAACAATGCAGGGGAGTATTAGTGGTAACAGGTAAGATTTATCCAAAACTGTCTCTTACAAAGTGGTTTCATCTGAATTCCATCGCAACGCTCAGCATGATGAGGACCATATTCTGATTCAGGAGCTTTTAGGGCGCAGCATCGTTACACTCTCCCGCCACAACTTAATCTTGTCATTCAGTTAGAGTTCATTCTAGAACGGCGCGAACACACTGCTGGCGCGGTAAAAGCCCTATCTCACAACAAAAGAAATTGAAAGGGATGCAGCCTGGGAGCCTACGTGTCACATACCTATTATAATCAGTTTGCTCAAAAAACGTTAGATTTCTAGCGCATCTAGTGCCGAGGTCGACGACTGAGTCAAGTCTGGGTAGTCTTAAGTCATGTAATTCAAAAGTTAGGTCAACAATACTGCCGACGCATTTGTGAATTTTAGGCTTCAAACAGGAACTGACACACCACGATGCGGGACTGCTTAGTTCAGCATGAATATTGGTTCACAACTCATTTAATTCATGACCATAACAGGAATAAATATTTAGTGACTGAACAAACTTGTTTTGTATTCAGAGTTCAGGATTCAATATGTGAATTGCCATTGCTTCTGCAGTTTGGAGAAGTTTAATTCGTACTCTTTTGGCAAGATTCCCACGTATTGTGTAGATAACTGAGAAGTTGTTTTGTGGGTTTTGCTTGGTGTCCGGATTCGATCAAGTGTTCTAGGATAGAGCTGTGGCGGGGGGATCTTCTTTCTCCTTTATAAAACCATGAAGGTAAGTGTTCGCTGATTCGTTTGGATAACAAACGCTGGGTACAGCCGACATACCTAGCTCCACATGAGCAGGTAAACTGGTAGATGCACATTGATGAGGCCCCAGCGGAAGCTTATCCTTCACGTTCGTGCGAATCATTGGTTTCGTAGAGAAGGTTAGTCTGAGTTCAGCTGCGGAGAAGGTTTTCTTCAGTGAACGGCACAGGCGGTTTCTCAGTATTTCTGCTGAAGAATCTCCGTTAAATTGTAGATTCAAATAGAGAAGTTTCTTGGGAACAGTAAGCATGGACGGTTTTTGTGTTTTGGGCTTCATGGCTTTTGTGATGAAACGTTCCGGGTAACCGTTTTCAAGGAGGATTCTTTTCAGGGTCTTCAGCTCCTCTTCTATAGTTTCCGGACTGCAAATGTTGTGGATTCTGTGAGTCAGTGAGCGGATTAGATTTCGTTTTGTATATAGAGGCACCCAACTGTGAAAGCTGATGAGTTGATCTATCTCAACACCAAATACGTAATTTTGTCTTACCTCTTTCTTCTTTGTTTGTCTGTTTCTTAATTGCATTATTCCCTACCCCCACCTTCTATTAAATCTCTACCCTCATGACGACTGTCGCTAACTCCATTTTCGTTTATTTTTAAGTGAATTCTACTCAGCTTATCAACTTGACTCTCATTCATTTTTCATTGAACCCTAGCAATTAGATTACGTCACCCAACCTACTTTTGTAACTTTATTATAGTTTCTAACCGATTAACGCCTTCTAAATTGCGTAATTTGTTGTCAAAAATTAACAAATGCATTAATAAATATTTTTCAGGTCGTCAGCTGATAGGTAGACTTTACCTGAGGTGAAGTGGCGTCAAACTCTGTAGATGTAAGCTATAAAAGGTGGTCCAGGGATGCAGCCCTGCATAACCCTATTTGTGATCTGTCTGGGGCGACTTCTGTTATTTGCACGCTATCATCTGCCGGTAAGGCAATAGATTACAAGTCCCACAAGAGTTCAACTTTTCAAGGAGACTACCACAAGATACTATATAAGATGCCGTTACTGACCTATACCGAAACAGTCAACAAAGAATGCATTCGGGGGAACTGAAACTGATAAAAACCTAATGCGTCAGCGAAAAGAACTCTCAAATCTGATCACATCGTCAGTCATAAAAGCAACAAAAGTATCATGAGGGCGTGAGAGTAAGCAGGGGATATGATCAGTTGATAAATTAGCTTTGAATGCTTCAAGCGTTAGAACTGACGAAAATGTTTAAAATTACCTTGACAAGTGTAGAATTCTCCATTAAGTTTAGAGAGTTAGTAGGCGAAAAGAATTTAGCCGCTGGAGAGAGATTGGAATGTCAACATAGGCAAGCGAAAAAGAAAAACGCTTACTTTAGACTTATGGGCTAATGTAAAGAACAACTTGACAAAATAGAAGTCATTTCATAGGAACAAAACTTTCCCTATAGACACTGTGTACAAAGGCTTTTGAGTGAAGTTAAGCATTTGTCAATTACAGCAAAAAGGATTATAGTAGCAGAAGTCCGTCAGTCAAAATTCATCTAATTATCACACTTTCGTGATTGACCTGAAATGTGTACTAAATCCTTTTTGGTGGCATGTATCTTGTGCAACTTAGAGGCTTACAAAAATCCTTGCCTTCTTCAGTGATAACTTAAGCTGACAGGCCACAAAATAACGTCTTTCCCTATAAGCATTCTAGCCCTCCTCTCGAATTGAAGTCGTACTGTGTGAAGCCGAATCAACTAACCTGATTGTTTTATTCCTGTTCTTCCGCGTTTTTGACCCAATAAATTGACGTTATTTTCGGCTGTTACCTAACTTTCCATGTAAATATGCATTAAAATAGCCAATAAATGTAACTGGTAGGGTTTTTTATTAACAGAAATGAGGCTGTTAAAGTCTGCATAT